AATCACGAGCCCTGGTTTTAAGCAAGGAATTACTGCAATCAAAGCAATGAGGGGGAAAACTGACTTACTTCAAAGGTAGATTTCAAATCCCTCACTGGAATCTGCTCCCAGGCCCCTTCTGGATCTTTCCTTCTCCCCCTAGAGAAATCACACTTTGGAAAGGCTAACAGAGGGTGAAAACCAGAATTCTTAAGTTTGTCCATGTTTTTGGAAAACCTGTTACCCAAACAGACTGCAAATTTTCGTGCTATGAGATGTATTTTGGGCCACTTTGGCCTACATGAAGTCCACAGCAGTAGATATGCTACTTGTATATCTATCCACTTTTTCCTATGACCACAATCCATTTGGAAATAAAGGGAGAAGGAGTGGCAGCCTGCAGAAAAATTATCATTTCAGAGGAGGACTTAGTGGTTCGATCCGCCTTCAAAACAAAAAGGATACAACCACGTGGAAACTCTGAGCACCACCCTTTTTATACTTGCTACTATTAGTTGTAAATGAGAAGAGGAGAAATGCAAGGCAGGAGGAGAGGAAGAGACACAAGGGCTTAGAAATGAGGCACATCTATCACTAGACTAAATCTGGCCCTGTTAGAAAAGCTTACAAAAACAAACAAGAAGAGATAAATGGAGCCTGAGCAAACATCTGCATCAACTTGGACTGCACTCCGAGAAGTAAGGATTAAGCACCCATTTGCTTTGAGCGACAACTCCAAGGACAAGCAAAGTAGATGCATAAAAAAAGTCTGTATTATATTATTTTACACTATATATACTTGAGTTCAAGCCCCACAGCCTCCCTTCTCAATCAGTGCTTCTCCCCTCTGCGTTTTACACAGGAATCCCCGAGTCCTGAATTAGCATTTTTCCAAGTTTCTGGAGCTCCTGCCCTTTGAGAAATCCTCTTTCCTATGGAGTGCTGGGACTGAAGAGTCCGTAGGAGCCTGTGGGAAGTGCCACCCAGCAGAGAGGTGACGAGGATGGAGTGCAGCTGCAGCCCATCAATCCCAGTTCTTAAATCCTGCCAAGTGCAGCGGAACGCCAGCGGTGAGGGCAGGCAGGGCCGGGCACGGCAGGTCACAGGGAGGGAATTACTGTGGGAAGAGCGCAGGAGGGCAGGGCAGCAGGAATATCAGAGCGCTAAATCAGCCTAAGACGCTGCTGCCATCTGCCCAGAGTGGCACGGAGCCGCTTCCATCTCCCCAGGCTTTATCCCGGTTTCCTGCGCTCTGCCCTCCCAGGAGGTCCAGGATTACCAGATGTCCCCTTGGCCACAGACCCCGGCCTGGACTGGGAAAGGCCTCCAGACCCGAGGGGACGGTCCCAATCCCAACCCAAAGCTCAGCAAGAGTCTCCTGTGCACTACAAGCAGATGTTCAGCAGCAGTCCAAGTGTTTATCTCCAGAATGCTATTCCAATACACTGGGAGAAAACACCAGTGGCTCCTAGAAAGCTGTTTCTCCATTTAGGAACTCTAGTCTTGCCAGCTTGGGGGGTAATCAGGCTGAAATAATACGTTTAGAACCAACACAGGAACAAGCAATAAGCCTTAATACTTCAGTCCTGATGGAACAAGGGCAACAAAAAAGCATTCAAAACAAATCAAAATGCCCTGAAACTCCTTGGATCCCACATGCCTCAACTCCAGCAGATTTTCAAAGCTTTTCCTGAAGCAAGGCTAAAGGCCGTGCAAGTAACTCTAGTCTGAGATACTCCAGCCTGCAGTTGCCAAAGGAAAGCAGCTGTGAACACGCACAGACATGTTTCTTCACATCTCCATATCCTTAGAAAAAAGGGATGGCAATAAGCAAGTGAGGAATAATCCATCACAAGTGATAGATCTGAGCAGATTTGTTTGGTTTTTTTAATTCCAGGATTTCCCTGGTTTGGCAGCTGAACACTGCAAGCCAGGCAGACTCCCGAGCATCCTCCATTTGCAAACAGCTGTACTTCCAAATGAGAACACTCAGCACTGGGCCTGAAGGCCATGGAACCCCAGTAAACAAAACAAACCCAAAATAGTTTCCAATAAACAAAAAAATAAGCCTCATTTTCCTTGGAATCTGAAGTCAAAGACTAGAGGTTCATTGCACTGGGCCCAGCCCTTTGATTTCAAACCAGCAAGGTTAATGCTCTAGGAGAAACAGAAACCAGCATTCCCACTTGGCATTGCATGGATGTGAACATAAACCAGATCCCAGCTCAAACACGAAGGCACTCGCCTACAAAAACATCACAGAGGAAGTACAAGCTGAAGGCACCACACAGCAACACCTGCTCAGGAAGCTAACTGAGAAACTGAGCTCATTTTCTCTACAACAGCAGGTAGAAAAGTGGTTTAAGCCACTGTTTGTCAATGTTAGGCTTGCTGCCTTCTCTTCATTTACAATGTGAACCAGTTGTGGTGGTTCTCTGAGGCTGGCACCTTCCACTCCCCAAGGATTCTGACAATAAATATCACTACTTTGATGAAACAACAGCAGAAATATCCAGTAGAAACCTGTGGAAGCCCCAGCTTCCGGATACCCAGTGAAGAAGACAAGAGGCAGCTCCTCCCTGACTAATGAAGTGTTCTTCTGCCATGACAAGTGCAGGCACATGCACATGTGGGCTTTTTTAAATAAACAGAATTATTTTCCAAGGGAGATTAAGCAGATGTGAAGATAGGAATTTGCAAAAGTGATGGCACACAGACAACTTCCACTGCAGAAGTAGATATGCAAACTATTTCAAAACAAAGTGTCCAAATATTTGGGGTTTTAAATGTAAGTTTAGATTGAAGAAAAGACTGTGGGCAGAATCTTGCTTTACTAATGCAAATGCCAATTATTCCATGTATTTACAATCAAGCGATCAAAATTTAGCTCCCAAGTGCTCTTTTTCTGTTACTTATGATATCAAGCTTCTTTTATAAGTTATACACTGTGCAAATTGCTACTCCAGTGACTCCCTTCACTTTCTCCCAAGAGCTCAGAACCCAGCTGGCTACTCTGGAGAGTGTCTAAATTCCTTTGAAGTCAAAAATAAATCTCTCCAACAGACATACACATGGCCTTAGAATTTCTCACTCTTGTTCCAGTTTCTGTTAAGCCACATTATCTCACCCTTCACATCTTCGGGAAACACTGAGGATCAGATATTCTAGCTGGGTTAAGAGACACACAGTACAGCAACAGAGAAGCCAGCAATGGTAACTGCAAGTTCCTTTTGCTACCTCTGGAGATGCCAGGAGAAAAAACACATTAAATAACTCTTCAGGATTATTTATTTATGTCACACTCACATGATTAGCACTCCCAGAGATGTAACAACAGCTCAGGTTGTGACAGAGACAGAGTGACGCAGGAGCATTTATCCAGTCCTCTCCTCAAAGAAAAAAGCCCACATTCTCCTAGTCCAGTCCCTAAAACCATGGAAAGTACATGAAGTGCTTCTCCTAGGTGCTATAAGGAAAAAAGGACACCTTCCACTACCCCAGGTTGCTCCAAGTCCCACCCAACCTGGCCCTGAATGCTCCCAGGGATGGGGCAGCCACAGTTGCTCTGGGCAACCTGTGCCAGGGTCTCACCACCCTCAGCCAAGAATTTCCTCCCAATATCCCACCCTAACCCTGCCCCCTGTCAGTGTGAGGCCTTTCCCCCACTGAAAAGTCTCTTCTGGCTTCATTTAACTGCAAACAGCCCAGGAGCAGCTTGCCAGCCACATGGCAATCTCTGCCGGAGCCGCTGCACTCCTTAGTCTAATTCCATTTAATCCAATTTCTTGTCTTCACGTGCTGTCTCCACACAACAACTTCATTCAGGATTACTGCTAAAATCCAGCTCCCAGTCCCAGGGTCTCATTCACTGGAAGGATTCCATCAGAAGCTGCATCTAGCCAGGCAGATGTCTGCTTGGCCTTCATAAACATAGCACACTGACAACAGATTCTCCTAAAAAAAACCACCAAAAGCCCTCCAAAACACACCAAACTGATATAGGTTATCACCTGTGGTCAAACCACCACCAGTATTTCCTTGCTTTAAGCAAGGGAAGTCAAGGAATTGCAGTCTGAATGGGTATTTGGAGCCCTTTCTGCAGTAATCCCACAGTGAGTGCAGCCTGCTGCGAGGCGGGAGCCTTCCTAGCAAGGACTCATTGCAAAATGGAATCAGATCATGACCAAGTGGCATGTGAGGGGAAGAGGGAAACCCACTGCCAAGAAGGGATGCCTGGTGCAGACCTTTCCATGTGACTGCTGTCCCAAACAGCAGGAGGGTAACCAGGACATTCATCTCCCTGGATGTTGCTGGCGTGTTCCACCGCTGCCCCCAGGCCTCGCGGAGCACAAGGTGAGTATTGCTGGCTTGCTTTACCACATGACTGAATCCAGGAATGGTGTGTGGGATCCATATATGCCCAGCCTTTCACTCTGGGATTCGGGCATCTGCTGAGCCACAATAAAATCCCAAGTGTTCACAACCAGACTGAGAACAAACCCTTAACAGATGTGACCCACTCAATTCTCATATGACACCTCCTGATGAAACAAAACTGCATCTAAGAGAACAAAAAGCGTGCTCACTTTATAAATAAACTCTTTAAAACTTAAAGCTGCTATTCTTGGACTATAGGGCAATCTGTGATTTTGCTACCTGAGAGTGCTACAGAGGGATGATCTGGATGCCAGATTCTACATTCAGTCATCAAAAGGTCGCCTTTTACATTTAAAAATGTCTTTGTTATTAATTTTCCTGTTTGTAACACCTCATGAGAGTAAAAAGGACATCCAACAAGACACAGGTTTTATTTCTCTCTCTCACACCGGTGACATGAAGGGCTTTGCTCATCAGCCTCAAAGGATCTATCTCAAAGTAAAGCAGCAGGATTGTCCCCATCAGTGTTTTCTAAGGGACTTAAGTTCTGTAAAGGACATCATTAGCAAGGCATGGTTAAAAGCAACAGAAGCTGTGCACCAAGCAGCAAACACCAGACCCAGGAGCCGTGAAAGCAGCCTTACCAGCCCGTCACAGTTGCTGATGGCCACCGCAGCTCCGGGGATGTCCGTGATGTCCCCCACGTAGGCGCAGTTGGTCCACAGGGGCTCCCTCTTCCACAAGCGCTCCGTAGCAGTCCCAGCGTGACTCGCGTTACCACCATCGCTCCCAGTTTGCACAGAGTCTTCGTACCACTCCACCACGGCCTCGGGGGCCAGCAGGCGAGTGTTGGGCTTCAGCCGGAGGTGGAATTCCCTCCCGAAGGCAGTGACGTTGAAGTAGAGCTGTCTGGGGCTCTGGGACACCTCCCGCGGCGCTCGCCGTTGGTGACTCGCAGAGAGGATGTTGGAGCTGTAGCTTCCGTCTGCATTGGTGCTAATGGGAATCACCAAACCGTACGGCCTCGGCCTGCTTTTTCGGAATTCTGCCAAGAGAAACACCCGAAACCAAACTCAAATTAGAACAAGAGCATGAAACGAGCCTTAAGACTCAAGGACCTTGGTACCTCACACCTCCCCTTCCAAAATTCCCAACCGAGGATTCCTGGTCGAACTACCAACACAGGAAAACGTAAGGCACATGTCACTGCTCCTCCCTTATCATGGAATCACAGAATAGTTTGGGTTGGAAGGGACCTTAAAGACCATCCAGTGCCACCCCCTGCCATGGGCAGGGACACTTTCATTAGACCAGGCTGCTCCAAGCCCTGTCCAACCTGGCCTTGGACACTGCCAGGGATGGGGCAGCCACAGCTTCTCTAGGCAACCTGTGCCAGGGCCTCAGCACCTCACAGGGAAGGATTTCATTCTCTCATTTGTTATTATAAAACTTAAGAGAGAAACCCCTGAAATATTCACTGACGTTTATCTGGGCAGTTCCCTGGGGTTCAGGTTTGCTCCACAGCACCAGGAGAGGCAGTGACCCTTCCCAATTCCCCCTAAAAAATGCCACACAGCTCCACTGCACACCTGGCACAGAAATGCTCACTCCTGTGTCAGGACCCCCATTAAGATTTTGAAAATTAAGTGCCAGGCTTGGTTACAACCACAATTTGCATACAGGTTACTCAGGAAATACAAACAGGGAAAAAAATCCAGTGGATATCACACACCATTGATAAATTGATCCATGCCAGCGATGGTAAAGGCAAAAACTTTTCCCTCTACAAATCCCCTTACCCAGCAATTTGCTATTGCCTTTCCTCTGACTGACAGAGATCAAAAACAACAGAAAAGCTAATTATTAAAAAACCCCCACAACACAGAACTGCACAGATTTTACCTACATCCTGCACTTCAGTGCAACAGAGAGGAGCCACAACCCCAGCAAACCCACAGTGTTGGTAACACCCGAGCAGCTCAGTGGCACGACCCCTGGCCAAGGCAACGTGTCTTCAAGTAATGTCACCCCAGTGTAAAACAAACCCGTCACACGAGTTTATCTTTGTGGTGGGGCCTCTCTAACGTGGGAGCAATCGGGACACTCGGTGTCCCATTTCCAGGCTGTAGGAGGAGATGGGCCAGGTCAAGCTGTGGGGCCACATGCTGCTCCCAACGGGACCAAGGCCTAAGCCCAAGCCACTGGATTCCACTATGTGAGAGTTAAAGACACTCAGCACCAAAACAGGCATTCCCTAGCTCCTCTCCTCCTGGGAGAGCTGGTGAAAGCAATATTAGAGTGATATTACTGACAATTCCATTTAAAAACCTCCGAGACTGGGTGGCTCTGATGGTAGCACTAAGTGCCACTGAGAATTCCTCAAATAAGTGTACTTAATTAAGCGAGCTAAGTTTTACCTGCTCGCAGTGTGGCTCACACCTGGGCTGAGAATTAACAGAGCAAAAGCTCAGTAGCCAGTTCCTCCCTCCTGGTAGCAGAGGCTGCTGCTTTTAAAGGACCTACACATTCAGTGAGTAACTTCAGGAGGAAAATGTTCCTAATGGCTTCACAGAACTGCTTTTCATTTTCTTTCAGGCCAGTTACTAAGGAATTTGACCAAAAAACAATGTATGGTACTAGTAGGACGAACACAGACATTTCAATTCTTGCACTACAAATTATCTTAGTATACAAATACTATATCCCAGGAATGTGACAAGTCATTTCCAAGCCCACTGCTACCCCACATCCTACAGCCAGCAGCCACAGGGTGGGTTTCAGCAGCAGCCAACTTCACCTACTTTGCCACACACCCACAAGATGAGGTTCTAAAACTGGCATCCTAAATAGGCCACTATCCTTAGGATAATTCCCATTTAAAGCACTGGGAATTCTCAGCCAGGATTGCTAGTCTGTCTCCTTAGAGAAGGGACCAAATTAAAACTCTGAAGCAATTTTTATTAATTAGACACCGGGCCATGCACAGGAGACAGAGCTGCTGGGTTGTACATCCTAACTGGGTCAAAGTAAAATCACTGCTCTTCACATTCCCGGGGCTTCAGGGCTGGGAGTTCATTCCCAGGCTGACATTCCGCCTTTTACCTTGCTGAGATTCCGTGTGGCTTGTTCTTTTCTTTTAAAGTGGGAGGTTCAGTGCACCACAGTCTGGGGATCCAATTCTGTGCTTACTGCACAACAGAGAAACTGTTCTGCACATCTCACAGATAAATTCCCGCATTTCCACAGGCTGGGGCAAAAAAAAAAGGCTATTTTGCTAATAAGAACAGCCAGCTAGCCACAAGAAGGTAGGAACAAAGGCTGGAAAATGAGAACTGTCAAGGATTTGAGTCAGCAAAAGCCCTTTCCAGAGCCTGTAAATGCTGAGCTAGAAGAGGAAATGCCTTTTGTTCAAAGGCAATTAAAATTAAATGGGACATGACTGAATCCCGAAGACATCTGAACTCCTCCGCTGACTTACATTACCCTTTTTCCACAGACTGCACGCTCCGAGGAAATGCTATTCCAGCTGTAGGTGTTCCCTTTCCTAAGCTAAAATTTCAGAGTCGATCTGCTCTGCTAATTCCAAGCTGACAGTGCTGATCAGAGCAAGAGGAAAAGCACTTAACTGCAAATTTTCTCCATTTTTTTTAAATCTGGCTTTAAACTGCTGCTCCAGTTGCACAATGTTTAAGTTGAAAGGAAGCACTTAAGAAGGAACATCACATTCTTTCATTGTGTGCCAAAACATAATTAGGTAGAGAATGCCTCTGAAGAGAGCTGGGTTTTTTTCCCCCTCAAATACTCATTAAACTGCAGAATTAACACTGCTGGCTCTCCCAGGAGTTGTCTTTGCACTGTACAACAGTTGGGGTTCCAGAATCCTAAACTTTTTCCTTTTTTATCACCTGCATTTGGAAAAACATTATTTTTTTAGACACAAGATTCTGTGAAATACATTGATCAAAAATTCTTAATGTGGCTGTCCACAGGAGAGTTCCAAATGCCTAAACATCTATTTGAGAAGATTTCAAAAACACAGTCTCAGCAAGAGGACCGGATCTGAGGTGACACCTTGAGAGCACTCCTGTGCCGGCACCTTCTGGCTGGAATTCACAGGCTGTGACACAACCAGATTGCTGGATGGCAGGAAAAGTACTGGGGAAAAAACAGTTACCTGCTGCTGCAGGGATGGAGAGCGCAGCGTTTCCAGAGGGAGCCTGTGCCACGCTCCGGGAGATCACGCTTCCGTTCCGCAGGAAAGCTCAAGGGAATGACACAGAGCTGCTCTGGTCACTCAGCAAAGTAATGCTTTATAGGACCAGATGGGCTGGAGACCACCAGACAAGCCCAGCAGGGGTTTTGTCATCACCATTTTCTGTCCCCATCATTGGCTGGTGGCTTCCAGAAACAAAGAAGCAGTTGTGGTGCCTCTCAACAACCTGGATCACTCCAGAACTACTGTCTGCTCTTTTTGGCTGCCTTTAGGTGGCAGAAACGCCCACAGAGAAAGACAAGACAGAAAAGGGCAATGGTTTTCTTGAAAATTCCCTCACAACTCAGCACCCAAAGAGGGATGAGACTGTGCTGTACCTGGACACTGCAAGCTGGATGAGTAAAAGCAATGGACTGCAAGGATAGAGGCTGATGTGGGACACGGCTCTGGTGCCCTCATTGCTGTACTTTGCTGTCACTGGCCCCAGGGATACAGACAGCTCAAGAAAAGGCTGATGTGGTGTTTTTGCAGCCTCTGCAGAGCTGCAGGTGCCTGGCACCATTGTGTCACGGGTCAGATCCCAGATTTCTTACAGAAGTGGCACTGAGCAGTGATGGAGCTGCTGTGTGGGAGGCTGAGGAGAAGATGCAGCACAGCCCTGAGCATCAGCACCTTCAGGCTGACTGTGCCACGAGTGACACAGAACCAGTTCCTCCTGACAGCCCCCAGGCACTGCAGCACACTGTGCATGAATGCAGGTAATTAAATGTGGTAACTCCCTGTGCCTGTACTGCAGTCTGTGCTGATATTTAGCAAAAATAAACCCCCAGGTGCTTTAGTTTGCCCTAAGTGACTTCTCAGGCGAAAAGATCAGCTGCTGACAGCAGCCAGCCCTGGGCCAACTCAAAATACACAACAGCGATGCAAACCGACACTTGGTAGGGCCTCAGAAGTAGGACAGCACATCTGAGGCAATCCCAGTGCAGGTTTTACCTCCAAGTCATTCTCAGCTGAGGAAGCCACAGTTTGAAGCTGTGGCTGCCCCATCCCTGGAAGTGTCCAAGGCCAGGTTGGATGGGGCTTGGAGCAACCTGATCAAGTGGAAGGTGTCTCTGCCCATGGCAGGGGGTTGGTACTGGATGATCTTTCAAGTCCCTCCCAGTTCGAATCATTCTGGAATTCTATGGTTCTGTGCTTTTTGAATCAGAATTTACAGCACCAAATAGAGCCCCAAACGTTCCTGAGTACAGCAATGCTGAGGCCGTGAAAGAGAGGAAGACTTTAAAGGACAGAAAGTTGTCTTCCAGATTCAGGGAGTTTGCCTGATGTACTGTGTAATTTAAAAGATGCATTCCTATATAGCTTATGGTTTCTGAAATTCAAATACAACCCATTTCTCATGGAAAGGACTAGAAATAAAACACAGGATCAGCATACCACTGGAAAAACCCTCTGTCTGCCAGTTAGCTTTAAATGTACCTCACCATCTCCATTCCAATTATTCAGTGATCGCAGTGGAAGCCAACCTAAGCCCAGGAGGATGCAGTGCCAGAACTGAAATTGAGACAAGACTTCCAAAATTTACAGAAATGCTTGAAATTCTTTTCTGAACAAAACCTGAACCAAAACCTCAGGGCAGGGGGTCTAACGGCAACTGGAAGTAGAACTGCCCGGGTCCATTCCCACTGCTGAAGAGCTCCAGAGCACACTCGTGTGCAGGGACACACACTCAACAGCGTGGTGAAAGGCTCACTTCATACTGGGTAAGGCAAGGAGCACATAGGATGGCATTACCTGGCACTAACACCCTTGGAGAGGGAATGCCAGCTTCCACATCCTCCCACCACCTCTTCCAACCCATAGAGCACCCAATTACCCATTAGTCTAAATGAACACACACGCCTGAAGCTAAACAGTGGGTGCATCCTCCCTGTCTTTGGGAGGAGTCCAACAGGCTGAAGTTTCAGTATGAAGCACTTCACGGGCACAAACAGGCACCTTTCCCTTCAGCACCTGCATGTACCACAGCACATTCTTACCCAGGACTATCAGTCTACGAGGCAACAGCGAACAGCTACAGATTTTATAACTTCTGTAGGTTTACATTTCAGAAGGGAAGCCCAGACACATCAGGATGCCAAACTGCAGCACGAGAGGACATGCAAATTCAATCCATGCCACGTCACCGTGCAACTACAAATGCTCCTGGGTGGCAATGGTGGGGAATGCTCGCCTGCATACAGATAATTTCTCCAGAAAATCACTAGTTTGTTGAGCTTGCTTCTTTTATTTCTGCTTTGATAGCAGCAACAATAGCTAAAAAGACTTACCTATTTGGATCTGCTGTTCTTTAGCAGCCTGCAGAAGAGAAAAGAAACACATGCACCAAGTTGTTAGTGCAATTACTATGCAATGGGGGACGGCAGAAGGCTGAAAAATCACTTGGTCTGCGCTACACTATTTTATACGTTTCTGCTTTTGGTTTCTAGGGATAGCAATTCTTCCTTAACTGAATAAACAGCTGTTCCCACCAACATACTAACAAAGTCTGTAGCAAGTTTAACATAAAGGGAGCTGCTAAGCAATCCTGATTTTGAATGACCCCTTCTATATATTGTGACACTGTGCCAAACAGTAAGTTTGGTGGCCATAGCAAGGCTTTAATGCCAGGGAAGTGATGAGCTCCAAGAAGCACGGGTGCCGGGGCAGAGAGCTGACAGCGCTGCTTTGGATCTGTGCTAGAGAACTGGAAAGCCAAGTGGACTTCCCGAGTGACCGCAGGGACTGTGGCAGTGACCTGATGCCACGGGGTGGTACCTGCTCTTGGCAGGGGAATGGGACCCAGGGGGACGGGATCTGGAGAGAAGGGGCTGCCGCTGCAGTCGCCAGCCCGGGCCGGGGATGCCGTGCCCGGCTCGGGGCTGCTCGGATGCGGCGGTGTACGGCGCGGAGGAGGGCAGACAGCCGCCGGTCCAGCCCAGCCCGGTGCCGCCCGCAGATCCCGGGGTAGCCAGGGAACAAGGGAGGACCTGAGGGCGCATCCCGGGGCGGCGGGCAGAGGGACCCGGCGGGCCGGGGGGCTCCCCGGGGGAAGGGCGGGCAGGGCAGGGGTCCCCTCACTCACCTGCCGGCCGGGCGCAGCGCGGGCCCCCAGGAGCGCGGCTGCCACTACCCAGAGGGGCAGGAGCACCATCCCGAGCCGGCCGCCCGCGCCCCGGCCCCGGCCGCGCTCCGCCCGCTCCCTCCTCCTGCCGCTCCTTCCCTGCCCTCCGGCGGCGGCTCCCGGGGCCGGGGCCGGCAGGGCGGGCGGGCGGAGAGGCGGCGGGTCCCCCGCGCCGCCTGTTGCTGCGCGCCCGCCGCGACCCGCGGCGCTGATAAACCCGCGGCGGCTCCGCCTCCGGCCGGCCCGGCGCTCCACGTCAGGAACGGCCCGGCCCGCCGGGAACCGCCGGGGAACCGCCGGGGAACCCGCCCGGCTCCGCGCACACACACATACACACACACACACACACTGAGAAGTCCTCCCACCGCGCTCCCGCGGCATCCTTGGTGCTCCCCGTCCTTGGCACATGTGCCTGAAATCCACCCAGAAACAACCTTCCCTTCCATCCATCCATTCATCTGTCCATCCCACCATCCAGCGCTGCCTGCACAGGGATGCTGGCATCACACCCTGACAGGGGCTCCCACAGCAGCTCCCCAGCCTGGGACCACATCCCCAAGCTTCCATATTTCCAATCAACCCAAGGCAGTGCAGAAAAAGCTACTGAGTCTTAATATCATAGAATCGTTTGGGTTGGAAAGAACCTTGAAGTTCATCCAGTTCCACTCCCCTGTCATGAGCAGGGACACCTTCCACTAGCCCAGGTTGCTCCAAGCCCCATCCAACCTGGCTTTGGACACTTCCAGGGATGGGGCAGCCACAGCTTCTCCGGGCAACCTGTGCCAGGGCCTCACTACTTTCATCATAAAAAACTTCTTCCTAATATCTAACCTGAATCGAAGCTCCTTCAGTTTAAAACCATCACCCCATGTCCTGTCACAACAGTTCCCAAGGGTCCCGCTGGACTGGAGTCCGACACCAAAGTGACTTCTCTCCCCACCAGCCAGGAGCTCGGCACACAACACAAACAGCAACGGTGCCCAGCCTGGGCAGAACCCAAAATCCACTCGCACAGGACCTTCCGCAGGCAGAAATCTTCACAAACACGCTCTGTATATTCTTGGTCCCTTCTCTTTCCCTAGAAGATGTCACACAGTTGAGATTGTGTGTAACCAGTTAGTAACAGACATCACTGTGCCACCCCCAAGGGTGGAACAAAACCTTTGTGAACACTTTTTAGGAGCCAGAGACTAAACAGTACTCAAAGCGAGGACTGAATTTTGTCAGGGTCAGAATTAGCCAGTGTTCCGAACATGTGGATACCAATATAAAATCCAGTTTAAAACCATTCTGTTGTACCTCCTGCAGTACCACTCCTGTGAGACATCACGACCAACCCAAATCACTTTCTGATGGCCTCACGTATTACAGACACAGTTTGCTGCTGCTCAAATGTTCTCAGAATACCAGTGACAGCCTAACTAGGAGTTTTAAGTTGACCCTGCCCATCAGAATCCTATCTACATGAAAAAGAAAATACTAGTTCTACTAAATCTAAGTTGCCTCAAAAAAACCATTAAAGAGGAGGAGAGCTCCAGGCTCAATTTTCAGGAGACACCTTCAATATTCCAACCACAGCAGCCCTGCTGTTTCAGAGGACACACCCTGAACTGCACCATGCTCTCTCACGAAGCCAAAAAAATAAAAGGAATTTTTCTGAGAGTGGGAATGTATCTGTTATTACACATGTAGGATCATTTCTGTACATAAAACACACAGCAGCCCGTCACACTCAGCACACCAACACCATAACCTCCGGCAGCTGCAGGAGCCACTTCTGGGACAGCCCAGAACGGGAAAGGCTGAGGGGCCTGTAAATTGCCAGCTCCAAATTCTACACTGAAAGGTAATTCCCGTCCTGTACAGCTATCCCACGTTTTATTTCCCTCGTGGATGTTCCCTAGGCGACCTCTGAGCTGACTTACTGCACCCTGGTTGATGTCCGTGATGTGACACACCTGAGGCCCTGCACCCCCCTGTCTGCTGGGTGACCATGGACCTGCACAGCCCCAGTGCTCCTGCAGGCTGATGACAGGGGCAGCCTCTGGCATGGCAGCATCACTGCCTTGGCCTGGAAGAGACCTTACACCTCCTGCAGTCCTGCCATGGCCAGGGACACCTCCCACAGACACAGGGATCCAAGCTCCTCACCTCTAGGAGAGCTGTTCCTATGCTCTTAAAAACACCCTTGCGATACAGTGTTGTGTCTGTTACCTCCCCTCCTCCATTTCCGAACTTTCCCAAACTGGCTTAAAAAGTTTCTAAATGTCAGAGAAACCAAGATACACAACAGACAGGGCTGGGGGCCAGGGCAGATATTCTGTTTTGTGGTCTGTCAAAGGCTTGACAGAATTGTAAGGGAGCAAAAATAAGGTGTTAAAATTAGATGCCTCATTATTTCTACTAAAAAACAAGAGCGAGTGCCACAGCTGTAACACATATAAATTGAGGCGGTATTTGGAAGTTCAATTAAAGCCATTTCTCATCTCCAACAGCCCAGCTTGGCCCCACTATTATCAAAGAAATCACAGATTTCGTGTTGTATTTCAAGTCTGATATACATACATATGCATATATGTATTTACATATGCATGTACATATATATATCTGTTAAAAATCTGTTAAGCATTTGCAATTCTAAAATCCCTCAGGCTTTCCGCATCTGTGCAGCTTTGGCTGAGGCACGAGACTGACAGCCACAAATATTTTATGAACCTGAGGTTGGGCCCTGAAGCAAAGAGGCACTGAAATCTGGAAGGCTTTGCACAGGGCCAAGGTTTGGAGCAGGAAGGCTGCAGCAGGACTTGGCAGGGATAACGTTCTGGGGAGTAAAACGTGGCATTACCTGTCTGGAGCACCGTCTCCATGAGGTCTCACATCCTCTCGCACACAAAACAATTTCAAAGTAAGGTTTAATTGGACCAAGAACTCAAACTGAGAAATTTAAAGGACCAAGAGAAGTTCCTGATCAGGAGTTCTTGCAATACTACTTAATACAAATATTGATTTTTTTGAGACAAGCCCCTTGTAACTATCACATCTAGGAGTCATATGCATAGTGTAACTTAAATGTAACATCTAGGAATAATACCTATAGTCCAGAAAAATCCCAGTCATCACCAATCCTGCACACATACGTGGTTTAATGCTCAATTTTGCAGTGACATTTCCTGATATTTAGGAATAATGATAATTTACTGAGCTTCTGATCTGCTATGTGCATTTGATGATCTTTCTTACAAGCAGCCAGTTTAGAAAGCATTAATTCTGTTCTTTCTGCTGAAACTTGGCTGTGGTGTAAAATCCTGCCTTCCTTTAATGACCTTGTGCCTCAGGTTCTCCTTCTCCATGGAGCCTGCCCGGATGGAAATATAAGCCAAGGGGGGGATCCCCCATGAGGCAGGGCTGGAGACCCAGATCCTACTCTGTGACACACCAGAACACGTGTCCAGGACCTGCTCAGGTTTCCTGCCTTAATAAAAAGTAGAATTCACAAGAATCAAATTTTATGTCTAAAATATTGCCATTACAATGCAGAAACCCACCTCCTCTCCAGCTGCCCTGTGTGACAACTCCAGTCATGCTCCTAAAGCCTTTTTGGCTGAGATACCACAGTTAAATTAATTTTAACCTCATTTGCCACCCAGTGACTTGTCATTTCAGTTCCAAACCTGCACAAGAATCTCTTTTGGTATTATCTGTGTAAGAAGGGGATCCCAGTACCAAGGTGCCAGACAAGGATCACCAGACTGCAGATGAAACACAAGCACTCTGTAAGTGACAATGCCTCCAGTTTCTCCTTCATGGTGCATTAAAACAGACTATTAAACCAAACAGACATAGTTAATTGTTTTAAAGCCACTATTAATCTAGCAGATTGTTACATGAAGAAATATAGTGCACCTGTTATTTTTAACAAAGCAGCCCAAGATTTATGGTCAAGATTTAACCACAGGAAACCGGAGAGAAAAAATGTGAGACACGAAAATTGCAGTTGTAAAGTACATTGTGAAAAATAAAAAGGAAAGGAAGGAGGTAGTGGTTGTGAATTTTGTATAATAGGTACATGCCATAAAATTATTCCTGTTCTAAGGTGGCGAGTTTTGAAAAGATGTGTGCCAAATAAAATGCAAATAAACCCACCCTGAATCCTCAAAAGAAATGATAACCCTGTTCCATGTCTAGGTTAATGGCTGGACTTGATGATCTTGAAGGTCTTCTCCAACCTAAACGATTCAGGGATTCTATGTGCACCTCCCGCTGGCTTCACCAGCTCCACACTATTCCTTTGTAACTTAGCAAGTGCTTTGGTTTTAGTCACATTCTTATAGAAACTTTTGGGGAGGGGGATGACTGCAGGGAGAGAAAGTGAGTAATTTTTCAGTGATTGCATTTCTGTCCCTGATTCACACAAAACAAGTTTCCCTTTGGAGGGAGGGAGGTTGCACACTTCCAGCACTCCCTTACCTCTCAAACATAATGAAAATCAGCTCTCCTGATGTGACTCCCTAAACTCAGAAAAGGCAAAAGCTGCACCACAGAAATTAAAAATGAAAAGTAAAAATCAGTAATATCCTGTTAAAAGTCAGTTCCCTCAGTGCCAGTGGGAGTGGCTGATTCAGTTCCAGCTTGGATCTCCCTGCTCCGAAGAGTTAGGATGTTACCTGGTTACCTCATGAAATACTTCAAATCTGTCACACCAGTAGTTTTTGTCACAGCAGTTTCTTTGATTCTATCCCAGAAAGCCATTCCATGACACAAGAACAAACCCAGCAGCTGGAGGAGAGCTGCCAGCAGTCCCGACGCAAATGTTTTAATAATGTTTTAATAACCACTGCCGTTGGATCCCAAGAGATAACGCCGTTCCTGGAAGCTGCCAGCGGCTCCAAGGGCACGCTGACCAGGACCAGGGGAAGTTGCAGACTGCATCCCACCTAACCATAACCCTACACATCAGCTTTGCATGATTATTATATTAGTGTCTATGGAGAAAAGAGGCAAACAGTCGATGCCACTATCTTTCCATTAAATGCATCTTGGCATCACAGGATGCCAGGACAGAGACCCCTGGCTCCCTTAGCCCT